TTAAAATAAAAATTATAGAATATGGTAAAAAATATTTGTATGCTGAAACAAAACGAAAATTTTTTATAAAATATAAGTAAAAAAGAAATTAAAAAAATAATGTGTTTTTATGAAATAAATAAACAAAAAGTTTTTGAAATTTAAAAACAAAATTTTAATAAATATAAAATAAAAAATTTTTTTATTTATAAAAATAAAATATTAAAAATTTGAAAAATATAAAAAAGAAACATTGTAAATAAAACATTTTTAAATTTAATTCTTATAAATGCGTTCAACATAATTAGATTTTAAATTTTAAATAACCCAAATTATTTGTTGATATGTTAAAAATAAAATTAAGAATAGTTACAAGGACAAAAATTTTTAGATAAGAAAAAAAATAAATCTTTAAAAATGATTTTTTATTTTTTAAAATTGAACTTTTACGTTCAAAATATTTTATTTTGATATGATTTCAAGACTAAATTTTCAAAATATTTAAATTCATTTTGATGAAAACAATAACAGATAATTTTGATTTGCTGATTAACAAAATTCAACCAACCAACGAAAATTTGAATGTTTTTGTTTAAAGTTTTAAATATGTTTTTTTTTTTTTGTCATAATATTAATTTTCAATTTTTTCCAAAAATTTTTAAGATTTTTTTTTCTATGATTTATTTCTTAACATTTTTGATTAATTTTGATAATAGGTAATACAAGAAATTTTGATTTTTCAATTTTAATGGATTCTCGGTTAAAATTAAACTTATACTAAAAAATAAAAAAAATTTAAAAAAGAATAAAAAAGAAAAAAAATATAAAATTTTTTCAATTTTCCAAAAATTTTATCAATAATAATTAAAATTATTTTGTTTTAATTTTTTGAAAATTTAAAATTTTTAAATGCTTTAATGATTTTTTTTCTTAACCTTAAAATATCAATTTTTTTAATGGTTTTACTTTTTATATCTTCTATAATTAAATCTATTAAAATAAGATTGAAACAAAAAGAAGAAGAATTTTAATGAAAAAAAAATAAAGCTTGATATTTTTAATTTTTGTAATAAAAATAAAATAAACGAAAAAAATTTAACAATAAATTTTATCAGAATTGTTTAAACCCAATTGAATGGAATCAGAATTGATTTTTTAAATGAATTTTTAAAATTCTGCAAATTATAAAATCAATTGGAGTAAAAATTAATGCAGATTTTTAATTTTTGAATTATTGTGATTAATTTTAAATTTTTTTTTTTTTGAAATTATTTAAAATTTTTGCTTTGCCCCATTTTCAAATAAACATTTTAGATCAATTGAAAAAGAAATATATATTTTTTTAAGATTTTTTAATTCATGCCAGATTTACTTCTGATTTTTCAAAATTAAAAATGGGGCAAACAAATCATAACCCCAAAAAAAAAAAAAAAAAAAATTATTTTTATTATCGATGGGAATCCATAAATAAATTCAATTTTGCATTTTTTTTTAATATTTTTTTTACGCATATAAATTTTGTTTAATGGTCAAAATAAAATTTTAAAAATAATTAAAATTTTTTATTTTTTCTGAAAAAATTTTATTTTGATTTTCACAAAAATTATAAATTGAATTTAAAACACAAATTAAATTTATAGATAGTTGCAAAAAAAGAAAAATTTAATTTCAAAAAAAAAAAATTTCAAAAAAAAAAAAAAAAAATTAAAAATTTTCAAATTTAAAACATTTTTTCGAAATTTTTTATTAAATAATTAAATTTTTGATATAATATTTTCATTTTAAATTTAATACTATACATATTTATTTGTAAGTAATGTTTGATATTTTTGATGTTTATTTTATAAAATTTTTAATTTTAAAGAAATATTTTTTTTAAAATTTTTTGTGAATTTATTTATTTATATAAAATTGTACGTTCTGTTTATTTATTTGGTAGATAATGATTTGTTATTTTTTTTTATATTTTCATTTATTTATAAATAAACATCCGCCTCTAATTGACCACCATTTGAGGAAAAATTCTGTAATGATAACCAAAGATCTTATTTTTATAAATTTTTTCATTTTTGAAGATATATTTTTTAATTTGAAAATTTTCTAATTTTATTGATCATACTCTTTTATTTGATATATAAAATTTTATATATAATAAAATTTATCTATTTTTTATGATTTAATTAATTTATTTCTATGATTTAAAAATTTTGAATTTTTTTGAAATTCTACATTAAATTTTTTTGTTTAGATTAAATATATATAAAAGTATGTGTCTTTTAAATTCAGATCATACTATTGTTATTATATATAAATGATTTTTTTATAAAATGATATATATATATATATATATATATATATATAAATATATATATATATAAAATATTTAATATATATAATTAAAAAAGTATATTTATTAAATTTAATTGCTTCATTAAATAATATAGACAAAAACCAAAAATTTTTTTTTATTTTTTTTTTTCATAACGTCTGATAAGTTTAATAACATTATCGTTGAACGAAGAAAGAAATTCAAATTTGATCCATATTTTTTTTTAATAAAATCTAAAACTTTCGGCTTATATAAGCCATTATCAAAGATGTCAATTACAGTTCAATATATTAAGCAATATACCAACAAGACAGTGATGATAGTCTTCATTGTTTACATAGATGATTTCTAATGAAAAAATGATAAACACGTTATAAGACGCTAGAAATAAAAATCGCACCGCATTCATGACGTCATCTATGATAACAAAATTTGAATTGAAAATGAAATTAAGGAAAAAAAATTTTACTATAAAACAATGGCTTTTTTAAAATTATAAAATTATAGAAATCATAAGAATAAAAAGTAGAGATTCCATAATTGATTTTGTTTAGGTTGGGTTTTAACTGTTTGATGTATAATGCTTCAAAATTTTTTTAGTTTTTGTCTATTGTTTTCATGTCGAAAATAAAATTGTTGTTTTTTCGACAAGTATTTTTTTCCAACATTAATATAAAATTATTACATTTGTTTTTTAAATGCCTAAAATGTTATTAATTTTAATTGCATATAAATGTAAAAATTCATATAAAATTCGGTAAATAAAAATCAATATAGTATTTAAAATCTGAAATTATTATAAAATGAATATAAATACATCTATAGTTTTAATAAAAAATTAACATTTTATAAAATATAACACAAAAATTGATTTAATTATTGCTTTAAATATTTTTCCCTGAAATATATTTTATTCATAATTGTATTTTTTTTTAAAAATATATAGAAAATCATTATTTTTTTGAAAGATGAGCTGTGATTTTTAAAATTGAATTTGTATATGACTATTATATATATATATATATATATATGTGTGTGTGTATTTGAATTTATAAATATGTTCTTAATTTACATCTTTCTCAAAATTAATTTTTTTTATTTAATAAAAAAACGAATGTCTGTGGATGACAATATATTGTTAATTAAATTTTTTTTTTAAAAAATTTTAAATTTTGAAATTAAAATACTTAACAAATTTAAAATTACTTAAAATTTAAACTGATTTTCAATGAATCAAATCGATATTCTCCCCCTTTATTATTAAAATGAAAATATTTAAAAAATTCAAATCCTAAAATCATATTGGAAATTTCATTTTTTTTAAATTCAATTGACTTTTTATTAATTCAAATTATTTTTTTCAATTATAAAAGAAATTTTGTCTATTTGTGAAAAAAAAAAAATTTAAAGATTCAAAAATTAAAAAAATCAGTTTTCATATTATATATATATATATATATATTTTATATATATATATATAATAATATATATGTATATTTTTTATGGAATTTTATTTATAAAATAAATTTTTCCTTTAAATTTTTTTAAAATTATTAAATTTCAAAAAAAATAGAAACAAAAAAAACTTTTTCTTAAATGATATTTATATTTTTTTTTTTCATTTTAAATAAAAAAAAAAAATTTTTAAATAAATAAAAATTTTTAAATAAAAAAAATAAAAAATAATTTATAAACCTTATTTTTTATTGTAAAAAAAATGAATATTGTTAAATAAGAAATTTTATAAATTTAATTAAAAGAAAATAAAATTTTATTTTTTTTTTGTTTTAAAAATGTCTTATGTTTAATTTTTTTTTTTGAAAATTTAATTCAAAAATATCAAATATATTTATATATATATATATATATATATATAATGATGGCCTAAATAAGAAAAATCAAAAAAAATATAATTTTTCAAATTTATATTTGATTTTTTAAAAATTTGAATTTAAAAAACATTGTAAGAATTTTTTATTTTTAAAAATATGGTTTGAATAATATAATATTTTTTAAATTTTTTTTTTTTTTTTTAAATATTGATAAAAATAAAATAAATTGGATTTTAATAAAAATTATTTAAAATATTTAAATAAATTTATTAATTAATTTTTTTTCAATATTTATAAAAAAATATGATATATTTATATATATATAAATATATATATATATATATATATCAGGTCATCCCATAAGTTCTGTCCGAATTTTAACTTTTTTTAAAATGAACGAAATTTAAAGAGTATTTTATAATGTCTAATGGAGCTGAACATTATTTTTATGTTTAGATGCATTTAAACTGATCAAATTTTTTTATTTCAGAGAACAATAAAATTAAATTTTGTTTGATTAAAACCCCCTGCTAACATGGAAGTACCCAAGAATCATTTGAGGCACATAATGCTTTATGAGTTCAAGAAAGGAAACTCAGCAGCCGAAGCGGCTAGAAACATTCACTCAGTTTATGGAGAGGAATGTGTGAATGAAAGAACTTGCAGAAGATGGTTTGCAAAAATTCAGAGGTGGAGATTTCACCCTTGAAGATGAAGATCGAACCGGACGTCCAGTTGAGTTTGATGAAAAGCTTCTTGAAGCAGCCCTTGAAGAAAATCCTGCTTTATCAGTTGAGGAATTGGCAGTGGTTCTCAGTTCAAACCATACAACTGTTCATCGTCATCTTCAACAACTTGGA